CGCATTTTAAAATCTAATCCAGTTTTTAATCCCTCCCTCAGCCTGAAACATGGTTGGCCTTCCCCTCCCAAAATATAATGGCAGAGTCTACTTTTATCCAACACAGAAACTCAAATTTTTGTTCCAGAGCCTGTAGAAAGTAAATGTTTTCTAGTGAGAAGCTTCCAGAGTCTGCACCCTCGCTGTCCTCTGCTGGCCTTTCCTCACCAGATCCGCCTCTTCCTGTACACCTGATTTCGTTTTTCCTTCTGTGCCACTCTCTGCAGATACCGCACAAAAAATATGATTTACTTCAAGTCAGAAATATTTAAAATAGTTTTTTAATGTTAAAATATTCAGCAGCCCTGCTGTGCCCTCTCCTATCAGGCGAGATCCAACTCTGTCAGCTCCAGCTGTTTGGTCGTTCTTCCCGTGTCCTTCCACAGATCTTCTCTGTCTGCCTGTTCTCCCTCCATACTGCAAAGAAAAATACACTTTTGCTTTACAAAGAGTCATGTATTAAATATTAAAGAAGGTAGAAACACAAAAACACAAGGACCAGTTCTTTCACAAAAGTTGTTCCAAAACGTAACACATATTCAATGAAATTTTCTGGAACATTATAAAGAAATGTTCCATTTTTGGTAGTAATTAAATCAGTTTTAACTTTTTCTTTTTTATTTTTGTTTTACAGAATTTAATTGTGTAATTCAAATCTGATACGCTGAAGAATTTCTGCCACGATGTCTGTTTTGAAAATATATATAAACATTTTCTGCCGTTAAAATAAGACATTTGTGGTTTTTGTTGTCTGTATGAATAATAAATTTCACTCTCCAAGTAGAGTTCTGAGGTTAAAATGCTAAAAAAGAAGTCCAGCAAAACAAGACACACAAGGAGTCGAGTGACCAGACAGCTTTCAAACAAAACCCTAAATTAATCAAACAAACAAAAGGTAGTAAACAGTAAAATGATTACCCAAACGAGCCATCGTAACCATTCGTCACAGTTTAACATCCACCACATTTTCCTCTCTAATGAGGAATTAATACCGACAATTTGAGTGTGCTCGGATTCCATTTCAGCATCAAAAAAGGCAACATCTTTAAAATTCTTGTTTTCTACAAATCTGCGAATGCCACCATTGGTATAGTTAAATGTATGTAGTGAATGGCCATGGTTACGACTCATAAAAACACAAATGTCAATGGCTGGTCTGTGACAGTAGACCATAATTGATGGCTATTCACCAACAAAACCCCCACACCCTCACTGTACAGTACTTTACAGGCCTTTGTTTTGGACATAAATTGTAAGGTGGCTGCAGGCCCGTAAGCCTGATGTATTCTTTAAGCAGGCATAGTGACTCCCTGCTGTGGAGCTGATATCAGCATTTTCAGTTTCCAAAAATACCTGTCCTCTTCTGGCCCTTTAGACCTAATCCAACCCTCCCGTCTTCCTTGAAATGACCTTGCTCCTGCCCCTCTTCACCCCTGCCCTTCTCCTCAGTAGCCCCCACATCTCCTCCCTTTTCACTCCTCATAACACCTTATCAAAACCAACAACAGGTCTTATTATTGGGCCACAGCCACATCTGCACCACTGACACCCTCTCCAAGATAAATGAAAAACCCTCTGTCGTTCTCTGTCTGCCTGCTTCTCCCTCGCTCTCCCAGCAGGCCAGCCTAATCAGGTAAACATTGAGAGGGTTTGTTAGCTCTTTGTAATGTGGCCCAGGCAGCCCCAGTGCTAATTCTTCTTCATCCCTGCCGGGCTGCAGCTTCAGTGAACCACAGCGATGGAGATAATGACAGGTTGGGGAGGAAAAATCTCTTCTGTGGGACACAATGGGACAGCCTGTGGGAATGTGGGAGGCTTTACAGAGGAAGGAGTGGGAACAAGGGAGGCTGTTTGACACAGCCAGACAGCCAGAGAGAAGTTAGTGATTTAAAAAAAGACATTGGAGTGTTGAAGTGAGGAGTCATTTCCAATTTGACTTCTGCTGTGTGCCGCTGCCCTGCACCTGAGACTTTGGGAGAAGGAAATCTAATCCTAAAACTTGTCTTGCCAGCCAAGAGCCATTTCCTTTTGTGTCAGCTTATTGTCATTCCAAAAATTTTACTGATTAAGGCCAGTGTCATTTTGTATTTTCCATACGGTTGATAAATCCCATGAAAAGACCAGAACCAACAAAGTCTTATTGACTCTCTCTGAGCTTGCCTGTCAGGTCCCCATTCATAAATGTAAACCTTAAAAGGGGGCAGATGTAACCTTCCATTTTTTTCTCTCTTTCTTCTTTTAAAGAAATAATAACTCAAACAGGAGCAAACTGTGCATTTTCTGGGTACTACTTTTTGCTGCTGATTAATCCACATTTGATGTTCAGCCGCCCTGCATGATGACAGCCTGATTGGATTTGACATGGTGTAATGATAAACCCCTTTCTCAGGCTTTTGTTCCTTTATAACCATGTTTTGTAATTCCCCCCCACTTTATTTGTTGCCTGTTCTGTGCAGGACTCCGACATGTAGTTTTCTACAGTATAATGAAGGACAAAATCCTCTACCAGATTGGATGCCTGATGGGTAATGTGCAAAAATTATGTGTAATGAGATAAAAATATATATACAATACAAGCTCGAGTACAAATGAACTAAATGCAGGCTGACGGGAGGAGAAGTAAACATAAGAATTAGCCAGCTGTTGTGCAAGCTCTGTTTAAAAACAATCTGGATGAGCTATAAAGTGAGTACGGATCACTGGACTTTGTTAGTGGGTCAGGTCCGGATTTGATTTAGAGATAATTGCGGGTAATCAGTCACTTCTGGTGTCGAGCTTTGCTGGTGTGGGTTTATGAAACTGGAGCCATGCAGGACTAGGACTGACAAATAAACACGTCGCCCAGTGTTGCTCAGTCTGGTTTGGTCCACCATTTTCTCAGCTGTTTTTTAATTAGCCAGTGTTAGCATGAACAGGGTGAAGATGCTTCGCCTGCTTCACAATAGCATGTTGTCATTGTGAGCCTGCTGGCATGCTGATGTTAGCATTTAGCTCAAAACACCACTGTGCCTAAGTACAGCCCAGCTGTAGATTCTTAGACTTATTATTGGTTTAGGACAACAGTGGAGCTCTATGGCCCAGACACAGACAATACTTGTCAGTACAGTTCAGCATATTGTTGGTTTTTGCTTTATAAATGGTTTTCTCGTTTCTTTACTGTTATGACAAGACCAGGAGATTCACCTTGGACTGCTGTGTGTTTCCCTTAATATCAGTAAAAGGGAGTAGGAGATCATTTGCACAATTTGAGAGCAGAGACCTGATTCAGCTGAAGGTACTTGGCAAAGTGCAGGAGCGAGGAGGGAGGTGAGGGAGGAAAGACGGGGAGGTAAAGATCCAGTGAACAAGAAAAAAATGTTCAAGAAAACAAGCAGCAGGAGCAAAGAAAGAGAGAAAGGAAAAAAAAGATGAGAACTAGCTGCTAAAGCACGGCTATGTCGCTCTCCACGGGTGAGCAAGGATGCATGTGTGTGATGGAATGACATGTCAGCGGTGCATCTGCCGGGTTTGCTGCTCGGATGTGTTGCCATGACGACCAGCACATCCTTACTCACACGCCTTCTTCCTTTATGCATCTCCTTCTCTGTTCGCAGCCCTCCCCCACCCTCCCTGCTCCATCTGACTCTGACTTGCATAAACCTCTCCTTTGTGTGAAGGCAGAAACGATTGCAGGCTCAGTGCATTGAATTCTCCTTGAAAATGTGATATATGGCTTCGTCACTCTCTCGCATGCACACAAAATGTCTCCTGGCTCGTTGCTAGAGCTTCCCTTCAGCTGGTAAAATAAAAGCATCAGGGATACAGGAAGCTGGTCAGTGAAAGGAGCCTGCTCAGTATGTATAGATTGAAGCCGGAGTGGCTGCACACCCCAGCATCTCCGTTCATTTCCCTCATCTTTGTATGCGTCTGTGTGCGTTGGTCAAAATCTACAGAATAATGCCCAGTCACACATTCCTCCACTCATGTGCGACTGAGGCAGCATCACTCAGCAGCATTACCGCCTCGTTAAATGGTGAAATACATTTGCCGATTTACACACCAGACAGTCTGTAGACAACGCCATCTGCCTGTGTCGTTCCTGTCCCCGGGCAGAAACCATGCTTTGTCAGACGGCTATGGAGTTTATGTGTCACATATGTGCCCATAATATACAAGCACATATGTATGCCCATGTGCAGAACATTAGATCTTTTAAACACAAATGTCTTTTACACTGTTTGTGTGGGTTTGCAAGAATTTGTGTGTGAGTTTGTGTGGCAAGGAGAAATCTCCCCGGGCTGTTTTTTGTTTTTTGACTTTGTATTTTCAGAAACAAAGTGATGACGTTATCCTTTCTGAATAAATCATTGTTCAAACCCTGCCGGTGACTCCTCCACCCTACTAACACACCCGTGGTCAGTTACTTCACAATAACAGTTAAGATTTAACATGCAACGTGTTGTGAATCGCTTGAAGTCCTATTTAGGGCCACTGTGGTGATCTTTTTTAGTTTCCACAGCGAAGCAGTTAAGGATAATTAAAAGGATAATCATGAGCCGAGAGGAAATCCTGAATATTCATAAACAGACAACATTAAAATAGGAAAGTGTGACTGCTAAATTATGCTTAAAAGCCAAATGTGTGGATAATAATCTGGCCATAAATGCCAAAGTGACATAGTAACACAATTCACTGATCCCAAACACCACCAAGAATATACAATGTGGGTTTACCACACTGACTTTGCTCTTTTCTTTCTGTTCTCTCTCTCTATTTTATTTTACACCTCTTCCCTTTCCATTCTCCCTCCTTCGTCTCTATCACATCCATATTTTACAATTTTCCTGTCATCGATCTTTTTGGTTTGCTTTGTTTTTGTTCCTTCAAACACCCGTTTGTCTCTGCACCTGTCTTCCACTTGACTATGCCTCTTCCTCTCTCTCCATGTCTTCCATTTCCTCCTCTCTTTCTCTGTCTCTCAGATGTAATGTCCAGGATTACATCTGGCATAAGGGTGCTCGCTGTGAGTCAGTGGTGACCGAGTTCCAGGTGATGTGTCTGGCCGTGGGTGCCTCGGCCATAGTGGTGCTGCTACTCTTCATGATCATCGTCTGCTTTGCCAAGAAGCTCCACGTGCTCAAGACGGAGAACAAGAAGCTGCGCAAACGCAGGTGAGGCTCCACAAAACATCTGAACCAAGGGATAGCATTTAAAAACTGACATAGTTTAACTATACCTTTTCTGGTTTGGATGATTCACTGTAAACAAAAGCACTGAAATATACAGTTTTATACAACAATGCTAACAAGAGGTTGAAACACAAAGGCCAGCAGCTTTCTGATGAAGAAATATACAAATCAAGGCAAAACTTTGTCAAGGTCTCCTTTTCATGTGCCCTGCAGAATCCATGTTTTCTGAATCAGTTTAAATCAAACAAAACTAAAAAGTTAAGTCTTTGGTGCCTTGCTCAAAGGCATCCCAGTGCAGCAGATGTCTTATTAGATCCGCACTGTCGACTGCAGGACATTAATCCCATCACTGATAAAGAAATGAAAAAGATTTATTGTTGTGGCTGGGGGCAGGCTTGTGCCCCCACCTGTGTTTAGTGTGAAGTTTAGACAATGACAGACTGGTTGATAAATGGAGAGAACAGAGGGAAAAAACGTTTGGCCCCGGAATCAATAGCTGTAAACCCTCATTGAAATGCAGGCAATAGCTGTGTCAGTATTCAGTGTTGTCTAGAAATAAGTGTTAGAGTCGAGAAATGGTCGTGAAGTTTAGAAAATAAGAATGTGACATATCAAGTCAAGAATCTTTTTTCTGGCAGCTCTTGGCTTAAAAGACAGACATATTATTTACATAACACAAAATTGTATAAGTCAATATAAAAATATGAACAAATAAGGGATGTATGGGACCTAATCAGGTCAGCAGCATGATAGCAGCAAAAGAGTGTAGTAACATTATAAAGTGCAGCTCAGTGCAAATCTCAGTCTTTAGGAAGAGGTGTGAGCATGGGTGTGTGTCTGCAGAGGTCCAGTGTTCTGTCTGTGTCTGTCCATAGGGGGGAGGTTGTGTGTGAATGAATGCTGCTTACTGAACTTTGTCTTTGACCATCATGAAGACTGTTTCCTGGTTATTCTGGAGGAGCACTGTGCCTTTGAAGAGTGCACCATGCAGTAAGTTTATGGTGCACGAGAAGGCAATATTCAACACATTTAGATCAGATGATCTACCTTCTCCTCGTCATGTCTTAATCCTCATATATGCATAGTTGTGATGGACTAGATGCTCGAAACAACAAGTTTTGTGTTTTTTAAAAAGTTGGTGTGCATCAAAAGTAGTCCTTTCATTTCTAAAGCTTGCTTTGTTTTCTGGAGGCTATGATCTATAGCTGAACTTGCATTATCTGGGTCAAGTCTAATCTTCAGTCATGTATTGACACTCACGGCAACAACATCAAAGCTTAAGTCTATCATTCTTTCTGATATGCATCCACTGTTGTTGGTTTTTGCACTTGACAGTGATAAATTCTGAATACTTTTTCTCATCATTGTCTGAGATGAGACCCACTACGGTGGTGTCGTCTGCGAACTTCACTACTGTGTTTGTGAAGTGAATGACCTCACAGTCATGGGTAGACAGAGTGAAGAGAACTGGGCTGAGCACACAGCCCTGTGGTGTGCCTGTGTTCAGGACCAGTGTGGATGATGTGCAGCTTCCGATTCTCACCACTTGAGACCTGTTAGTGAGAAAGTCCTTAATCCATGCAGGCATTCCCAGACTGTGCAGTTTGAGTGCCAGTTTGTCTGAGATTACAGTGTTAAATGCCGAACTGAAGTCAACAAATAGCATCCTGACATAAGTGTTAGGATGCTCCAGGTGGGACAGGGCTGTGTGTAATGCTATTGAGACAGCATCCTCTGTTGATGGGTTCTCTCTGTAGGTGAACTGATGGCTGTCCAGACCAACAGGGATGAGGTGATGTGCTTTAGGACATTCCTCTCAAAGCACTTCATGATTACTGGTGTCAGAGCAACAGGGCGGTAATCATTGAGGCAGGTGACAGCTGATTTCTTGGGCACAGGCACAATGATGGAGGACTTGAGGCACACAGGGACTGAAGCAAGATGCAGGGACAGGTTAAAAATGTCCAAGAAAACTCCTGCCAGTTGGTCAGCACATATCTTCAAAACCTGGCCTGAAACCCTGTCTGGTCCTGCAGCTTTGTTGGTGTTGATCCTCCTCAGGGTGGAGCTCACCTGGTGTAGCTGCAGGACAAGAGGCTGGTGCTGTTCCTCGAGCTGAGGGAGATGTACAGTTCCTCTGCTGCCAGGTGTATCGAAGTGTGCAAAGAAACTATTCAGAGTGTCAGGGAGGGTGGGATCATGGCTGACCTGCTGTTTGTTGCCTTTGTAGTCTGTTATTGTTTTGATGCCTCTCCACATACTCTGTGTGTTGTTATTCATAAAGTGTCCTCGATGCGCTGTTTGCACCTGCGTTTGGCCAGCCGGATGCCCTTCTTTAGTTTTTTCCAGGCTCTGCTATAGGCTAGCCTGTCACCTGATCTGAAGGCAGTGTCCCGAGCTTTGAGCGGACGTGACACTGTACCGTCCAACCATGGTTTCTGGTTTGGAAAAACCCTGACGGACTTTGTAGGTAGGACAGCATCTGCACATAGTCCAGAACAGCTGATGTATAAGCCTCCAGATCTGAGCCCTCTTTGAACACCCCCTGAGTCAGTGTCCTCAAAACAATCCTATAATGCTGGAGAAGCCACCTCCGTCCACACCTTAACTGTTTTGTGTTAACATATTTGTGTTATGAAATATGGGGTGGTTGTGCTTCAGGAGGTACAGAGGTCATCTCCTAACCGGTTCCCATTCTCCCCAGTCCACATATCGAAGTGCCCCTTGGCAAGACAATGAAGCCCAAGTTGCTCCAGGTCAGCGCCTTGCAGGGCAGCACCGCCACCAATGTGTGAGTGTGAGTGAATGGACTAAGAAAGGGTGTTGTCCTCCCAGCATGGCGCCACAGATGGCTGCCTCAGTCGAATGCTCTCTCTAGTGTACCAGAGACAAATTCCTTTGTGTGTTAAACATACTCGGTTAATAAAAGTTTTTTTTTTTATGTAATTAAATGTTCATCAGATTGAAACAACAGGAAGTCACACTCAATTTCCAAAAACCTCTATACCTCAGTGACAACATAATGTAGTATGAGTGTTATACTGATGTGGGATTTACCAGCTTAATTCTTCAGTTGAGGCAGTTTAATGTAGAAAAAGGCTTGAGGAGACAGACGGGAGGTGTAAACAACAGCATGTGTCCTTCACAAGAGCAGCAAAAGAGGAGGCTGTGGAAGATTTTGTGCCATGAACACAGAATTATTTTTCACAACACTAACTTCACCTTTTAGGCAAGAATGACTCAGAATGTTTGAGGCAGTAGAGCTTCAGCGCCTTTCTCAAGGACATAGCATGATGGGGATTTAACCTGTTATTTGTCAGCTGTGGTGCTTTTATTCGGGCAGCTACAACCCCACAATTTTAGTTTAGTTTGTCTGCTCCCATTTTCTGACTCTTACAACGTCTTACAACAAGTTTCTGAAATACTGTAGATTTACTCCTGAGCTACTGTATCTTCATTTTGTGCTTCTGTAGTGACCCGGTTTCTGACTGATCAGCTCATCTTAATATAATTCTAACATTAAAATCCATAAAAGTAGAAGCAACACGTAAAATCGATGCAACACGTAAAATGAATACCCAGTGATCTATGGACATTAAAAATGTTGTTTGCCAGCACCTTCTACTGTTTCAGTGGTATATTTAGTATCCTCAAAGGCTCTTAACTGTCTGCTGCCTGCTAAGAAAGATGTATAATAGTAGTAGTCAGAAATGACATACTGTACAATATCTCCTTCCTCAATTTCTACAGTGTAAGCCAGAATTAAAGTTAGGGTTGGCGATCCTGGAAAACAAGATAAAGCTCAATTTTGAAAGCAGACAACAAAAGAAACCCCACCCTTTTGTTCTGACTTTTCTCCAAAACCACTCCTCCAAAACACAACACACACAGCAAAGTGCACAGCCTGACTCCTACTCACAGATGTCAGGAAAATAACAAATGCCCCCCCAAACAAAACAAACCCAATAATTGCCTGTCCAGCAGAAACACGGCCACCATAGTGTCACTTTTCAGCCCCTTTTGTTCTCTCAGTTGTCACCATCATTCCAAAGCCACACTATTGTTAATTCTGGTCTTAGTTCTTGCATCAAGCGACATCTTTTTATTTCCAACTTTATTGAATACAGTGCTACCCACGCAAATCTGCAGCCCCAAACCATCGCTGGGGACCTCTGGTTCATGACTAAGCTGCTTTAGCCCTGGCTTGTAGCCGGTAACTAGCCTTAGAACTCCGGTCTTTTCTGGCAGGGAGAAGTGAAGAAGGAGGTCGACTAACACCGTTCAAAACACAGCCTTTATTCCGTCTTGGTAACATGAACACTGCAAGTGGTCTTTGATGCAAAGTTAACTGCAAGTAAAAGGAGTCTGTTCCATGCAGTGGTCTTCAATCTCTCATACTGCAGGTAGAAACTTCTGGCAACAACATTACCTGTAAGGCCATATGTCTTAAAGAGGAAGGCCTGGCCTGTAACAACGGTCTCTGTTTGTGACCGTAAGCTGCTGTGGGCACCTTCTCTGTCATAGCTCGCTAGGTTTGGCTATCATAACAGAGCAGTAGCACGTCTGCCTGCCTGGCCTTGTGGGAGACTCTTGGCTCATGTAAAGACGTTGTGCACGCAAGTAGAAAGTAGGTTGACAGGCAGCCAGGCCATCCTGTGATTTTGCTCGTGCCGAGTAAAATTATTGGTCATGCTTTTCTCAGCCCTGCTGCTGCTAGAGATGATGGATTTGTTTATTTATGTTGTCAGTGCATTTAATGTGTTCATTGCCATCAGCACAAAAAAGAGAATCTTAAGATATGTAACAAAAAATGCTTCGGAAAAGAATTGCCAAACCTGCCTTTAAATGTTTAAGAATTATATTGGAATATATTTTGGAAATACCATATGAACAAAAGAAAGTGTTATTAAATGATTTATAGATTACCAGGTTTCTGTTTTGTGGAAAATCAGTGCAGTGACTCAGATCTAATGGAGAGGCACAAACTGGGGCCAATCAGAATCCAATGTGTGAATCAGAGAGCAGAGCAACACACATTAAGGGAGGATAGGAGGGTAAAAACAGAGGAAGAGAAAGTTAAGGACCCAGTGGAAGAGGAGGCTGGGGAGGATGAAGGGTCTTTGAGACAAAGGAGGATATGGATGGGGTGATTGGCGGCAAAAAAACAGAGCTAGAGAGGAGGAGAGTCTGATGGCAATGGAGCGGACCGGCTCGAGCTGCCTAAATGGGAAGCTGAAGGAATGCAAGAGGAAGCAAAGAAGCAGGAGGAAGATTTGGTGGGAGGGGCGACAAAGAGGGCTGATGGCGAGCAGCCAGCGGAAAACCAGATGACAAGACAGATGAGGAAGAAAAGAGTGGTTCACACTCTGAGAACCAGAGAAGGGTTCTTTAGGGTTCTTTTGGGTTTTACAGGATGTTGCATTAAGGATCTCAGTAGTTAAATATACTCCACCATTACTATGGTGGAAATATGGGAAAAATATGAAGTATAAGGTCAGATCTTGTTACATTCTGCATATAAATGCCTTAAAAAAAATTTTTGTAGTGTCAAACTCAAATGCTATGACATAGGATCTTAATGGTGCTGTAAATATATCTGATGTTATTTCTATAACATCATGCTGAATGATTCTATATACAGTGTTCATCAAACATAAGAATTCAAGAAAGTAAAAAAATTAAATGATCAGACATTAAATGAACCAACATTTATAGTATTTATTTTATCAGATAGTCTTTTTATATGGTCTTTTTGTCTAAAGACTGGATTTTTTAAACAAGTGACAAAATGATTGAAAAGATGAAGGATGGAAAATCTCTCTCTTAAAGCAAGAAAGAACAGGGCAGGTCACTGCACTGTTTAAGTAATAATAATAAATTGAAATGGTGTGTATGAATGATTTGTTGAAAACAGGCTAAAATGTTTTCAGCACATTAACTGGGTTTTTTTTTGAAAACTTGGTTACAAAGAATTCTAGTAGTTTCTTATGAAACTTTTATTGAAATTTGAGAGAGAGACAAAAAATCTACTCTAAAGATTTCATTTGTATCAACTAATGAAACTGTGTGATGTCAGAGGAGTCAATCACAGTGATGAACAGAATTACCGGTACTGTTTGATTCTGCTGTTCCCCTCAGCTCACCTTGGCATCTTTTAGCTCATTGTTTTGGTTTCATAGCCCATAAATCCGCTGGTTTAGTTCAGTTTCTTTTCCAGACTTTTCCGGATGTAGCTTTGATAAACCCACTTTGCACTCCCAGTCCAATACTAAATGATAGCTGACAGGAAAACTTGGTGACTAGTTGCTGAACATAGAGCATTTATCAGCTAAAGAGCCAGATATTTTCCTCAGCAACTCAACTCAAAATGGATGCAAACACTACTCCATATCCGCTGGATGTGTACAGTAAATAGAACTATGTTTACTCTGACATTGACCACATCAACTTTATTAACTGTCTTTACATTTTGTTTCTACTGCAACCAAAGGGCAACAAAAGTTCATATGTAAAGCGTATAAACATTCATTTTAAAGAAAATTATCTTAAGAAAATGATTTTTATATCTGTCTTTCCTATGTTTTTATTTTGGCTTGTCCTTGTGAACAGTCCTGAATATAAAATGTGATGATGCAATCTAACCTGCTTTAGTTAAACGATTCATCACTGCACCACAGCAGGCATCGAATAATGCTCACCAGAAAATTGAAACCTATTGATTTGCAGTTACTGCATACAGTAAAATATTCTAATATCATCAGCTGTTTCTTAGAGTCACAACATGCCACACTGAAGAACCCTGAAAGACCCTTATTTTTGTGTGAAATATATGGAGAAGAGGGAGGTGGACGTACTATAAACCGAAGGAGAGAATGAGAGCAACAGGCAGATTGAAGGGCTGGACTGAATGTAAATGGGGAAGGGTGCTGCTTTAGCATTGCTTTGCCAGTGCCGGTGTTTTAGCGGCAGTCTCCCTAGCAACAGAGCCATCGTGGATGAGCAGCAACCCGGCAATCGAGCGCCACAGATGGAAATGTGAACTAAAGGGCTGAATCCTCAACAGCAAGCTCCCACAATGATATAGGGTCTATTTTTATCTGGACAGTTATCATGTTAGTCAGGGTGAAGGCGATGAGGGTGCAGGCAGTCGCAGCTGTGATGCTACCTTGCAGAAATTAAAAAAGGAGAAAAGGGTGATGTCATTGGTTCTCTGGATCCATCTGAAAGTAGGGCAGTCTGAACAGGAGAGAGAAGAAGGAGGGAGAAACGGGGGAGGTGGGGTTGACCTACATACAACTGTGCAACCTAGAGGGGTGTAGTGCCAGGGCGCAGCATGACAGAAACAACACGGCCTCATCAAGTGGTCAGCTAAAAGAAATCGAAGAGAAGCAAAGAGAAGGAGGAGGGAGACAGATGAGAGGAGTAGAAAGGAGGGCAGGGTGAAATGGGGAGGAGGGGGGAGTTAAGGAGGAACTGTTGCAGGAGGAAGAGCAAAAGAGAAAGTGAAAGAGAGAGATGGAAGAATCAGAGAGGGCGGCTCCAGAGAAAAAAGCTCAGCAATACACATTCAGAAGAGTGTGTGTGTGTGTGCGTGCGTGCGTGCGTGCGTGCATGTGTGTGAGCGCACCGACAAGGCTCATGAATACATGAGACTCCCACACTTCCCCAGCTGCTGTGGGTAATTGCAGTCACAGTATTTCTCTGCCATTCGAGATCAAATCCAACATCCTGGTCGATGATGGAGAGAGAACAGAAAGAAAAACCGATGCAGGCAGGAAAGGATGGATGCATCCCTGTTATAAGGCAGTTTGAGATCTGTACCATGACCGACTTCACCTATCTGTTAAGCAAACAAGGAGGTGTGCAGTGCAAGAACTGATGAAATACAGAGTCAGTGCAGAGCTGCGTGGCTTCTTTAGCCAAATTGTAGATTTTTGTGTTTATTTTTTGTGTCAGTTTTAATGTTATCAGGAAGAGTGTTCTCTGAACAAGGCTTGTATATCATCCACTTCTCTGGGCTGAAAGATGGTGCACAGGATTTTTTTTTCTAGCAAGGAAACTTTCAGCCATGTTATAGTTCTGACCAAACTTCCATCAGTGAAAGCTGGTAATTTGGACATGTGGTGGTGTTAATGCCCCATCATCACACACCGCTGTGGGGTTTTAAGGAAAACCCTTTATTTAAATGTTTTCAAACAAGCCAGCCCTGAACATTAGGAGGATTTCTGAATCAGTTCAGTGGACAAAATGAAAGCCTCCTCTTGTCTCTGATAGAGTCTCCCTGTTAGTCCCAACAGAACTGTGCTGGGTTAAATGTGAGTCAAAGCCGAGCCTGTTTGGAGACTCAAGTGAAAACCAGGTCCCCAGCGAAACATTTTATTGTCGGTTTGTTGCATCACAGATTACATGTTTGTGTCTGTTTGCTGTTCACAAACAAAAGTCATAAACTTGCTGTCTAACTAATGCTGCTTTCTTGCTTTTTCTCCCCCTCCTTTTTCTCTGACACCTTCTTTCTTTTTGTCAACAATAAAATCTTTTTCCTAAATTTGTCCTTTTCTTGCTTCCTTCATCCTTCCTCTTACCTGATTTTATCCCATCCTGTTATACTGTCTGTGTTTTTTGTTTTTTCATGTTTTCAATGTGCTTATCTGTCTCATGACATAAACATGTCATTTCATGTCTCTTCCTAACATTTCATTATTCCTCCTCCTTATGTGGCCCCCTTAATGCCCCTCTTTTACCTTCTTTCCATGTTCCCTCATATTCTCTGTCTCCCCTATTGATCATGTGTGTACCCAAAATGTTTGGTGCTGTTACTTACCTTTCATCCCTTCTTCCTTTCTCTGGGCTTCATCTTTTACTCACGTTCCCTTAATTTCTCCACATCTTCTCTGTTCTTTTCCACTCCTTTCCCTTCCCTTCCTTCTCACAAATCCTTTCCTCTTCTCCTTCACCTCCACTTCAACATCTTTATCTTTCTCAACTCTCTCTCCTCCTCTTTTTGCTCAAACTGTTTTCTCTTCTACTTCCTTCCCACACCACACTGATTTTCCTCCATCTTTCACTCATCTTCCTCTCCACATCCTCTTCTCCCCTCCTCCCTCTCCACCGCCTTCCATCCTCCGACACCCAGCAGTAAGTACCGGCCTTCATCGGAGCAGCACAATGATAATTTCTCCCTGTCCACCATCGCTGAGGGCTCCCACCCAAATGTAAGGAAACTGTGCGACACCCCTCCTAACGTCCCTCATGCCCGTGCATTGGCTTACTATGATAACATTATCTGTCAGGTAACGTGGTTCTCGCCTCTCTCTCTCGCCCCTTTTTTCTGCACCCCCCTCCCACCAAACCCTGCCTGAGCCCCCTGTCTGTTCCCACTAATGCATGGGCATGAGTATTCTCCAATACTCAGAGGTGTGAAATGCTAAATGAGGGGGATGGTCCAGGTCAAAGCGCAAGGAAGGATGGCAGGAGTTTTCTCAACTGGTGGGGGAAATCTAAATCCAAACGAATGCATGTGCAATGCTGCTCACATATTGTAGCCACACATGGTTTCTGTCTGTAACCTGTACGCTGTGGGTTTTTATTGATAAACTAGCTGAAATCGAGAACTTACCCGATTTTGTTATATTTTCAGTTACAGGGTCCTAGTGGTTTTGCATATTTTCACCAGTTTGATCAATTTGAAGTGGTGTGAGTTAAATTTGGGATTTTTCTGCCATTTTTCCAGTTCTTGCTTTCTGTTTAAGTCCTAGATAGTTTTACCTCTAACACTTCTCTGAACAAAGCAGTCTCAGAGGTGATCCAAAATGCTGACAGCTCATTAATGTCTTAATCCTGTGACGAGGCAGACACTGCTTCATTTCATGCAGTTACCAGCCAAAAAGGTTGTGAATTACTGGGTCACCCAATTCATGCAGTTCTGAAGGAGTCTACTAATTGTTGTTCAGTAATACAGGAATAAATGAAAATGCATGGCAGCCTGGAAGGATGGGGACAATGTTTTATTGGCCTCAAATGAAAATTTTGCATATAATGCCACCACCCTGGTCATTTAAGTTAAAAACTGAAAAACCAAATCTCCTAAAATTTAGTCAAAGTTCCCCTGACAAGAAAGTCATGCACAAGCATGCACAAACTAAGTCTGTACACAGAACAGAACAATGTTGCACATTTGTACATGTGCTTACATACTAGATGCACACATAGTTATGAACATGTATTGTAGTTTGAGTATGAAATGGCCATTTTCAGAAACAAGTAATGAATGAGATCAGGTCTCAGAGTTTCATTGTGTTTTTCAATTTAGTTTGCTGGTTTATTGCTTATTGATGCTGTTTTCAAGGAGATTGTACATAAAATGTCAAATGAGTTCAGGTTCTATATGGAACTGCTGTAGAAACCTTGTTTTTATAACCATTTACAAGGTGTAATTGGTAAAATCTAGTCCTACACCTTTGTCATTTATTTTAGGGACACAAAACAAAATTGCACTAATTTATTTTGAATGATCAGTGTCATAGAAATCCTTAACTGAATCAGGACTTTGGCACAAACTGGGGTTAGAGGTTAAACTCTGCCTGAAATTGTGCAGATTAAATATTTGTTGACTGTCCTCACAGTGTAGCGAGGAACCCGTCCTAACTTTAATCTCAATCCTATAAGAGAAAACTCCCACAATCCTTTGCTATGCCCCCTTCCCATCCCGTCTCTTTCTAACCAGCTTTCTTTATGATCACTTTTTGTATCAATACGTCATGGCCTACTTTGTCGCTAACCTGCGCCACCCGGTGGCCATGTCAGCCACTGCAGCTTTGCTTTGCTATCTGTACTTTTAACAAAATGTCGGCTTTACTTGTTTATCCTGAAAACATGATTTGTCAAAAAGGGTTTATTCAAATTTTTTTTTTTGGGGGGGGGGGGCAGGTTTATTTGCAGATTAAAGACACAACCAGGTAAGCTAAAGGTGGGGGACATAGGCGGGAAAAGGTTAATGTTATCAGGATAAACATCTGAGATGCAACGCCTCCCTGCTGCCTGCAGGTGGCAGCCAACAGGTGCCTCACTAACTGAAGCATGGGTAATGCTAGTATTGTAGCAGCATGGGTAGTTCTAGTGCTACAACTGAGGTAGAATTTTTTTATTTTCATTTGTATTTTAAATTTCAGTCTTTTTTAAGATGTGGTGCCACCCTCTAACAACTCCATCAGTAGTTTGGTTCACTGTTAAAGCTACTGTAACTAGTTATTTCATGTTTCTTGAGGAAAAGCTTATGCTTAATGGAACCACAACCAAATATCATTTTCACTATTTTGACAGACAAGAAATCCTAAAACAGTAGGAAAAAACACGTCTACCATCACCTCCTAACATCTCCACAATTTCAGCTTTCTAACTCAACACCACATACACATCACAACCCCTTAATTTCCCGTTCTTCCACTGGCTTGAGTAGTATTTGTGGATGCTTTACATCCTTTGTTTTACCACACTTAGAGGTATCCTGTAGAGATCTGACCACTAGTTTTGCTAAGCAGCAGTGTTCTGATGACGTTTTTTCTTGTACCAGACACAAAGATGCACACAAGAAGCACATGGGCAACACCAAACCAAACATAATGTATTTCTTTTGCCATTTTCATGCTAGCTTGTTGATTTCAGTTAGTGGAGGTAATGCATCAAGAAATGTGCAAGGAGAGACAGGGAAGAATAAAACTGCAAACAATGCAAAGAAGACCCCCCCCCCCCCCGGTTGTAAAATTATCTGTACTTTTAACAAAATGTCGGCTTTACTTGTTTATCCTGAAAACATGATTTGTCAAAAAGGGTTTATTCAAATTTTTTTTTTTGGGGGGGGGTCGCAGGTTTATTTGCAGATTAAAGACACAACCAGGTAAGCTAAAGGTGGGGGACATAGGCGGGAAAAGGTTAATGTTATCAGGATAAACATCTGAGATGCAACGCCTCCCTGCTGCCTGCAGGTGGCAGCCAACAGGTGCCTCACTAACTGAAGCATGGGTAATGCTAGTATTGTAGCAGCATGGGTAGTTCTAGTGCTACAACTGAGGTAGAATTTTTTTATTTTCATTTGTATTTTAAATTTCAGTCTTTTTTTAAGATGTGGTGCCACCCTCTAACAACTCCATCAGTAGTTTGGTTCACTGTTAAAGCTACTGTAACTAGTTATTTCATGTTTCTTGAGGAAAAGCTTATGCTTAATGGAACCACAACCAAATATCATTTTCACTATTTTGACAGACAAGAAATCCTAAAACAGTAGGAAAAAACACGTCTACCATCACCTCCTAACATCTCCACAATTTCAGCTTTCTAACTCAACACCACATACACATCACAACCCCTTAATTTCCCGTTCTTCCACTGGCTTGAGTAGTATTTGTGGATGCTTTACATCCTTTGTTTTACCACACTTAGAGGTATCCTGTAGAGATCTGACCACTAGTTTTGCTAAGCAGCAGTGTTCTGATGACGTTTTTTCTTGTACCAGACACAAAGATGCACACAAGAAGCACATGGGCAACACCAAACCAAACATAATGTATTTCTTTTGCCATTTTCATGCTAGCTTGTTGATTTCAGTTAGTGGAGGTAATGCATCAAGAAATGTGCAAGGAGAGACAGGGAAGAATAAAACTGCAAACAATGCAAAAGTGCTGACCTCACTTTCACCTGTTATATATCTATAGTTCACTAACTTTCTAAACACCAAGATGAAATTTCGTAAAGTGTCTCTATAAGTCCTTGGACAAAGATTTTATGTTAAAGAAAGCTGTCATTGTTTTACACTGCTCTCTGATAACTAGTGCGCTGTGTGTTTTCGTGGCTAATCAGATCACTTCACATCAGCTTCAGTGATCTGAATCTCTTTTTTAATAAGCATCCATGAATGAAAAATAATGTGCGCAAAGGCTAGTTAACCAACATTACATATACAAGTTTGGATTTGATCAGTGGATTGAATACTGGATTCAGAAATTGGCATCAAATTACAGCCTCATAAATGAATTAAGTCAGTCAGTAGAACGTGTTTAAACATCATTTGATAACCTTACTTGTTATGTGTATGTTTTAGTCACTGCCCTTCTGTCCATCCATTCAGCCTAAAATAAACTTAACAGAAACATTTGCAACTACTATTCAACCAGATTTATTTTTCTAACACAATTTCAACCACATACAACCCTCCACCCACTGCTAACTCCCCAAACCAAAACCATGTTGACTCACCAGTTTTCCCTAAATAAACACTAATAAAACAAAACCTTAACCCCCGGTCAAACTAACAGCCCAGTGCCTGAGTCACTATACAGTAGTCGAGAATCTCACCAGAAATATCCATTTATTCTGGTAATACAGGCAGCACCAGAGAGTCTGTGTCTGCCTCAGAGATACAACTGGGAATATCGGTTGATGTCTGACAGGAAGTCTCCTGCTATTGGTCTCTGTCTCCAGCACTCAATCTCTCGCTCTGTGTTTTTTTTTTTCTGTCTGCATCCTCCTTTTCTCCCTGACTTCTTGCTGCTTGATTTCTCTGTTTCTTCTCTGCTGCTCCTCCCACTCATCCTCCTCCTTTCTGTCCACTTCAATCAATCTTTCTTCATCCTGCATCTTTTCTGTCTGTCTCTATCTTGTCTTTCTCTGAGGATGCCTTGTATGGTTTTGAGGAGTATAACCCTTTGCCCCATCCACCTCCCCTCAGAAAACCATGAGCAGATACACCTGGGAGTGTAAGACCAAAGAGGAGTCCGACTGTGAGGTAAGACCAAATCCCAAATGTCAGATAGTCTCGCTCCTTTCTTACCTTCCCAAACAAGCGCGCTTTCATTGCTACTGTGGCCCTGTCAATCACCCTTTCTCAAGTCTCAATGGATCAATCTGAGCCTTAGCCCCACCCACAAGAAACAGAAACTAAAACATACATGATAAAGTCATGGTCATGCAAGAAAATATCACCTGTTAGAAGTGAATTTACTTAAAACCTAACTAATTATTTAACTAGATTCACAAAATTACAAGCACCTTTGAGCAGACATTTAGCAACAATAATAAAAGAAATATATATAAAAGAGCTTCAGTTAACATTCATGCAAACAAACATCAATATAAATTATAAGTATAGAAATGTATCCATTTGGGCTTAAAACTGCTATAAAACACCATATAATAATGGAAGTACATTTGTTTAATACTTATTGGTGTTTACACAAATATAATATTTAAATTGAGGCCAGACAATCTCTCCTTGAAATAAAATAAAAGCTTTCCTGTATAGATCACATGAAATGGCAGGTTTCGGATTTTATGTCCATCCATCCATTATCTATAGCCCTTATCCTGAAGAGGGTCATGGGAAAACTGGAGCCATTGGGCAAGAGGCGGGGTCCACCCTGGACAGGTCGCCAGTCCATCACAGGGCTGATACTTAGAAACAGACAACCACACACTCACTCTTACAGGCAGTTTAGAGTCACTGGTCACCCTAAGCTGCATGTCTTTGGACTGTGGGAGGAAGCCGGAGTACCCAGAGAGAACCCACGCAAGCACGAGGAGAACATGCAAACTCCACACAAAAACGCTCTCGAACCCAGAACCTTCTTCATGTGAGGCAGCAGTACTAACCACTGTCCACCATGCCATTTGTATGTCCAGCTGTACAAAAAAGAAGTCTTAGTAATTTATCCCTGATGGGACCCCCTCCCCCCCTTTAAATGTAAATATCAATTGTGATTATTGCTTTAAGGTGGACTATGCTTTAGGTAGCCTAATACTCAAACGCAAGTTCTCAGACATAAAAACTGCATTGGTCCTGTGACAGGAAACTATTGACTTTGCGAGGACCTTATCCTGAGTCCAGACAGCCAAGGTACCACTGCTGCATGCACACACACATACACATTGAGGCTTTCAATGGAAGTAGAAAACTCCTTCAAAAAACATGGAACTGAATCCCACACACAAAAACTCACAGATGTTTTGCATACAGCCAGCACACCTACTGTTCAGTCACTTCTGCACAATAACACAAAAATCACTTATGTTTCATTCACTGTGGTAGATTGAAACTGCTTGTCCTCAATCTTCCCTTCATGGTAATTCAACACAGTCCAGCCACACAGTTTCCTCTGCAGCAAGCGGTGAAATGGAATTGTTTCATGTCAATACTAAATAAATTCAACACAGAAAATGAATTGACCCTGCGGAGCTGACTGTAATTTCAAGGAGGATTTCATTTCCATCGACTGAGTCAGCTCTCAGACTGGCTAATCATAACTGGATTGACCCTCAAATGCTGCAGGCATGCAGTACAATTGTGTTTTCAAAAAATGAGTATGATACATCATGGAGTGAGAACAGAAAATGCTGAGGCCAAACAGGTCAAAGTAATTATTTATTATTGATCTCATCAGTGAAACAGCAAGGTGAGAACTCTTCAATTTTAACATTGGTATTTTTGCCCATTTTCATTTCTGATTACTGTGTTTTGTTTGTGCTTTGATTCCCAGAGATCACCTGTCAATCACACACTGTTAGTGGTACTAATACATTTTTTAATTTAGACTGTAGTGTAACATGATTAGCATTGTTGCTACTGCTGCTCATGCTAGCAGCCCAGTTAAATATTTCCAAGGATGTCAATATCTTTACACCAAAAGTATTTAAGGAAGAAAATGTAAAGTGCATATGATAATCTGAGGTAAAGTATAAGACAAATGAGACCTGAAATTTGCAGACAGGATGTAAGTTCAGTGGTTGAGAGAAGGATTCAAATGCTTAAGGTCCTCATATTAGTTACAGTCAGCTATTGGCTGGAGACACACTGACATGCCTGCTGTTATTTCTGTGATTCATATCTGTGTATCCCTGTACTAACTTCACGTTCCGTTTCAAGAACACTTTCATTCCACTGTTTCACTCTATGCCTGACACATGGTCACAGATCCCTTTAAAAATCATCTCTGCAGCATTATGACCTTGTCTTCTTAACCCTCTTTAACTAAACACATGCAGAATGCATACAAACCTAACACAAACACAACCCTAATACAGACACTTATATGCTCAGAGAAATATAGTAGTCATTTATAAAGTACAAGCAGGCAATTATACATTCACCCATGCATGCACACACACACACACACACACACTAATAGAAACATTTTAATCTGAACTGTATGTGCCCAAACATAAAAGAAGGACTAAAGCGAACACAAACTGAGCCTCACTGACTCTCAAGCAGTGTAAATGTAAATTAGTTGATGGAAAAAGCAGAGGAAGAATACTGATCCAGAAACAAACACATTTCAGACTTCATTTCCCAGTAGTCCTTCAGTTCCTGCAAAGAAGGTTGCCTTCTTCAGTAGAGGCTTTCTTTTATTCTCTAATTTAGAGCCCTTATGTGTGTGTGAAATCTGAACATTTCTGGCTTTGCTACATCTAAAAGTCTTACAGTCACGCTAATGGCTTTGTGATATTGTGCTTATGCACAGTGGTGACTTGAGCTAAATGTCAGCATGCTAACATGCTGGGAGCTGCATTATTGGACAAATTAACATTTAGATTGAAACTTAATGGATCAATCATATTATTACAATTCACCCTAAGGGGGAACATGCATATCTGTACAGAAATAACAAGCAATCCATCGAATACCTGTCAAGACATTTCACTCAAAACCACATGGTGGTTCCATAGTTCCATAGAAGAACATTCAAGAGATCATCAGAATGATCAGAATTCAATTTTGGGGCATCATGAATATCTGTAGAAAATTTAATAGCAACTCCATCTAATAGCTGTTGAGATTTTTCACTCTGGACCAAAGCAATGGATTGACTGACTGATGCTGCTATCCCTCCAAAAAACAACAGAAAGCACCACCAAGAGTGCACCAGTTTTAACCAGTATTGTCTAAATTTTCTATGTATGCCCTCACAATAATCTAAAAGAGGCTACAATCACATAAAGGCTCTACATATATGCTCTATAAAGATTAACATATTGGTTTTTACATTGGCTATGAATTCAAAGACAGTTACTGTAATTCATCCACTATCTTAAAATGAATATTACACCTGTTCTTCCCTGTGGCCTATATTTGTCATGTAGCACCTTTGAGCAAACATGATCCAATTCACCATTATCAGCCCACTAAAGGACAAAAGGACATTACAAACTGTCCGTGTGCCTTCATCATCATCATCCTCATCCAAACCCTATTTATCTCTGTTCCCGCTCCCCCAAAGTGACACCCACTCTAAAGTCCTTGTGACTCTGTGCCTCCCACCCACTGCTGCCCCCGCTCCACCTATTGTATGCAAAACAACTATGAAATCCAACAAACAAAAACATTTTCCAGTTTCATGCTGACGGGAGGAAAGAGGGCTCCTATCCCGTAACCATGGAAGTGACATATCCACACGTCCTGCCTGAAGTTACTATCTAGGCCAACAGCCACCGGGTAAATGTTCTCACTGCTCTTACTTTTCTAAAAGTGCCATTGAATTCAAACCCAAAAAAGCCAGTTAGGATATGTTTGTAGATAGCACAGACCTCAGGCTCTAGAATTTGATGCGTGCGTGATTGTGTGTGTGGCACGTGTGTGAAGGAATGTGTCTATCCCACCATACTCAGCTTGTGTGTCTGACTGAGTGTGTGTGAGTGTGTTCTGCACAAAGAGGCGCAGACGGACACCCCAGGATGCCTCACGCAGTACGGTCGATGATGCCATGCAACATTAATGGGGATAAGAGGTTGGAAAAACAGCTAAAATAGATGCTGCAATCATTTTTTCCCCTCTGACCCTGATTAAATTCAGGCAAATTAAACGGAAACCTCTTTCAAACATTGCTTTCCCCCTCAGCAACTGCTTGGGTATGTATGACGGTGGTACCCACAGACAATCAGGCAGGGCAAACAGTTTATTTGTGATTATTTTTGTTTATTTCTTTTGTTTAAGGCCAATAAATGGAAGAAGGATGTGAAGCAGGGGGATGTGGGGTGTTCTGCATAAGCGATTACACAGGGTGTATCATAAGGGTCTTGCATGTAGATGTGCATGTGCTTCCTGCGTTGCCTGAAGGGAGAGGAGGGTGTCGCTCATGCAGTTCACCTCACTGCCTCCTCAACCAAACACAACATACCAGCAAGGCATGATGGTTAAACAGTGGAGCCTTCAAACCACTGAAAAGGATGCTGCTGCGACTGGTTTTGCCTGAAGTAATGCAACAGCTACAGATGCGATTTTGCTGCATTCTGCATCCAATTAAAGTCTCATGCCAGTGTTTTTGCATGTTATAGCCCGTTTGCTACAAATTTGATACTTTTATATCAGCAACCAATGCTGCCGAGTTTTCAAAAGCTAAATGTATTTTTTCTGATGTTCCAGGTATATTTTGTTTTCCATTTATTTCTGTACAATAGAAAAATCTATCAGCTGGACTTTTGCTACTTTACTGTACAGCACTATGGACTGTACCGGACAAAAAAAAAATCCCTTCAAACATCTTCACTGTAATGGATTACATAACAGAAGCAAGTTCCATGAGTCATTTTATTGATTTTTACATTAAACAGAAATGAATGGAGAGAAATAGCTGCCTGGAATAATGGTTACAAAGTCTCTATCTGTAAAGCCAGCATAGAAAACAGACCAGAAAAATGTCAAGACTTGTAGTGAAGAAACTAAAACTTGCAAACACACTGATGTGGTCTTTTAACGCATGAAGGTGTGACATGATAAGTTGTTAAAGCGCATGAAAATACAAACAAATCCAATGCTCTGGGATTCTTTAAAAGCACAATTTCATCTTAGTTTTTATCAGCTTTTTCACCAGACCTTGATGTTGGATGATTCTGCAAAACCTGGACAACATCAATTTTTTTAATGTCCAAAGATAAGGCTGGACTTACTATGGTATCTGCACAAGAGAACTACTGTACATTAGGGTTATGGTAAGGCAAAGAATGTGGTTATGGTAAATAAACTATGTACAGTTTGGGCTAGTCAACTTAAACACTTGGTTAAGGTTAAATAAACGTGATAACAGTAAAAAGGCAAGTGTCACTTGCAGGATGTGACCTTGCAGGTCTTTTACCACCCTTACCTTCCTCCTCATTACATAAAGAATACAATACAATGGCACAGGAAGTACATTATAAAATGCAAAATCATCCAATATTAGCTTCATTTCTAAAGGATAAATGACTGGTTTTCTTTGTTATTGACTTTATGAAAGATGAACATAGTCCTAGAGGATGCAGTTCCAGTGTTTTGGTCAGAGATTACTACACATGCTGTAAAATAATTCAAATCTATGTTTTCGTCCAATCGCCAACATCAAAGTTGCTACTAAACATGAAGTTGATAGCTGTTGTCATGGTTCTAACTGTTCTTTCTACCCCCATTCTTCCAACTTCACCTCTCCACTGGCAGGATGATCCTAATTCCCAGAACAAGCTGGAGGATCCGGTGAAGGCCCCACCCAAAGAGGATGACTCACTCAACATCCACAATTCTCTGACCCCCAAACATGAGAACCATAAGGTCCTGGGTGAGGAGAACTCCTCTGAGGTAAACTCACTGCAGAACAACATGATGTAAACCCCCCCTGCCCCCAGAAAACAAACAACCCCAGCAACCTGACAACGCGACACCGAAAACATCAAGGTGTGCCGGCAACAGGAGCCCCCAGTCCCCTCCCTGCTCTTCGCATGTCTGCTGCCGAGTGCACCTAACCGGTCAACTAGCCAACCAGCCAGCCTGCCAGTATACCAGCCAACCAGTCAAGTCTGTAACATCTCCAACACGGCAACACTGCCACCAAGCAGCCCAAGCTGCTGCAAAAACCTACACCACCACTGCCTCCACTGCCCCAACTGAGAATAACCCTGCCCTCACCAGCTTCATCCTGCCACCGCCTTGCAACCCAAGACCCCCCCCCATCCATTGATGCCCCTGTTTCGCAGCCCCGCCCCATTGTTGCTGTCACTCTATTCTCCTTTCTCTCTCTTACCTGCACACACACATACATACACATAAGATGTAAATACATCCAGTGAAGAGATGAAAACATGAACACACTTATATGTATACACACGTACACACCTTCCCCTGCCTGCATTGGTGTATTTTGTAAAATGAAAGAAATCATACAGAAGTTTAAAACGTACGTAAAACGTCATTGTAAAAAAAATAAATAAAATAAAAGTTAAGATAAAGCTACTGAAAGGTTTTGATGTTCGTCTGACTAATCCAGTGAGTGTGTATAATTATTGGAAAAAATTGCTTGGATCGATTTTAAAAGAAGCAACACAATGTGTCTTGGTTTTCATTGATGTGATTTCTAATCCTTTGATGTAATTGTTTTTTTTTGTACTTTTTTGGGACTTTGAACAGAGAATAAAAAAATGAGATTCAGACAGTTGTTGAAATAAACCTTTTTAACATGACCTCCATGGATCCAGTCTTTTCCTCAGCGTCACCTCCCCTCTTTTCACCCCCGAACACTTTCTGCATGGCTTTGAACACAACTTCCTAGGTCTTTGTCACACTGTATACCTGCTACAGTGGCCCGTAGGTGTGGTTTTGAAATTGTTTTCATCAATGAGAAAGATAAATGCAGATGCTGATTTTTGAAAATGCTCACCTTTCAAAAAAAAAAAAAAAAGCATGTCTCTAATTCACCTGGAAAAAGAAAACCATGCCTCATATTTAAAAAGTTCACCTAAAATAAATAAACAGATAAAAACCACTGTGCAGAAAGACTGCATGTCTGACCACAAAAAGGACAGAATGTGTTTCTGCTGCAATTGCATGTGGCCTCCAGGAGTCTACATGGTACATACATTTCTATGCGCCTGTAGCCCGCAGCCATCACTGTGTTCAAACTCAATGCTAGAAAGAAGTTGTTGTCTTTGTGGTGCAGTATTTACTGTATGCAGGGAACCAAGATGATGGCCTGTTCGTCCTCTAAACCAGATGTGGAGAGTTTATAAAATGTGAGAAACACATGCACATTAAGCATGACAAGGTGCAGAGGGTGGTGCACTTAAGTATTTTTGTATGGCTGCAGAGCAGTTTGATGATTTATTGCACTGAATCAAGCCATTTATTTGGCATACTACCACACCATGCAGCACATACAGTATGCCTGTTTGTTTAGATATAGCCCTGAGGACTGCAGTGCTGATGTCACTTCTTAGCATTAGCCACATTAGCTTGGATGCTTTTTAATTTAAGGCATGGGTTTTTTTTTTCAGGTGACCTTATTTTAAAGCACAGTACATTCTGAAAAACAGCATCCCATTTCTGATTTGAAGTATGGTTTTATATTTTCAGATTAGCTGTTTTTCATTTGAGGCTTTGTTTTTTTTTTTGAAGGTGAGCATTTTTAAAATTGTATCTGCATTTATTTTTCTCATAAATGAAAAGAATTTTGATATTGCACCAATGAGCCACCATAATTTGCTGCCTTGCTCACACACACACACACACACACACACACATATATACACACGCACACACACATACAGTCATGTTTAGGTGGTATTTGAACACTTTTTCCATGATTTTAACATTTATAAATCACTTAAATTTTATTAGTACACCAGCAATAAATAGTTTTTTAAAATAGATTATATTACAGAAATTGCTTTACTTACTCCAGATTATCAGGCTGCGCTTTCACATGTAGATTACACCATATTAGAGATAAAGCTGCATGAATGTTGTGCATATGTTTGAACAGAAGTACATCTCAATGGAGTTGACTCAGTTGCCATGGAAATGGGTCAGCTGTTATCACCTCAGCATACTTCCATGATCACAGTTTTAGGGTTGCATAATAACAACTAAAACCATCCCCATAACTTAGCAAACTCAATCTGCTGATGACAGCCAAGAGATGTGGCTGAAAGTGCCAGAAAAGCCAAATAAGACTTTGTGCTAAGAGCTTTTGTCATAATGGCTGCCTAACCTGACCCATCATCTAAAACTCAAACACGCTGCACATTTCTGTTAAATCTGGATAATTTATTTGTTGCTGCTTGGGGACAGGAATCTCATTGCACACACTTTTGTAATTTTCATCCCTTATTTTAGGTCAGATGAATCACTGTGTGTTCTTTGAGGCCAATAAGAGGCCACAAAATGAAAGTCATAATATAATTTAGGTCATTTTACATCCCTTTAGTGTCTGTTATTTTATATTAAAGTTACACATATTTCACCTATGTGCAGATTTAAACACAAAAAAATGTTTTTTTATGTTACATGGATGTTAGCTACACAGTAACCAGAGAGATGTACTTCACGCCACATAAATCATGACACATAGCACAAGGGGCCAGTCATGTCTCCTGCCTCCAGAGACACTTGCCTGTTTCCAGCTGGACCTACAAATACAGATCTCTTCACACACACAAAGCTTGCAGTATCCAGACAAAGTGAGATGAAAAACACACCTGTAGACAGGCACAAATCCAAACACATACAGTGTCAAGAAAAGTAAGTGTACTCTTTGGAGTTATCTGGTTTTTTGCATTAATTCAAACATATAGCCAAACACAATGTGTTAAAGCTAATAACAAACAATTATATTCTTTCATGCTTTATTGAAGATGCCCATTAAACAGAGTGCTGCTGGAACAGCTATATGAACCCTTGGATTTATAGATGGTTCTTTGGCAGAAATAACCCCAAACAAGCACTTTCTGTAGCTGTAGATCAGACCTACACAATGTTCCAGAGGAATTTGGTCCTGCCACATCCCCCAGCTTCTACTGAGCTTCAGCTGGTGACAGTCATCCTGACATTATCCTGAAAGATACCTTGATAAACTTGGGACTTCATTTCCCCATTATGATGGCGAGCTGTCCAGGTCCAGAGGCAGCAAAGCAGCCTCAGTTCATGAAGCTCCTTTCACCATAATTCACCACAGGAATGATGTTTTCATGTTGGTCACAGCAAAAATTGGAGAGTTAAAATTTGGGTGTTAAAGTTTTCAGAGTTAATCTTAACTCCTAAATTGTAATTTTTACACTTTGGGAGTAAAGTGTTGTTCAGTGTTGGGGTTATTTGACAGTGTTGATTACAGTGGAGTTAGATCAACTCCTAAGAGATTTAGTGATGATCCACCCACTATCCCCAGTCTCGCATGTGGACTGTGGAATGTTAAGTAAAAATATATATATCTTACTTACAAAAACATTTTAGTTGATCCTGTGACTTCAACAATAATATGTAGCTTGTATTTAACATACACGGATAACATTTTTCAAAGCATATCGATGCTAATTTAAAACATTTATGTAGTTTGTCCAAGTGTTTAGCATTTTAGCAGAGTGCCTTCACTGCAAAATGAAAATAACTTTAAGAGCAGGTTCCACCACAAACCTGCATAGACATATCAGAACTGTCCATCCTACAGTGCAGTTAGAGGAGAGAGGGCAAGCTAGCACACCGTCTACTGATCCTGGTGTGTCTCATCCCAAAACAACAGCAACTGCAGCAGCATCTGGCTTCCCCACACATGCAAGTATAACCTCTCCTACTGCAACTCAAAGCAAAATAAGTCAGTTTATACCAAAACAGATGACCCCAGCCAAACAGCACAGTATTGATGATGAGTTGGCTAAAATGATAGCTACTGATTTCCAACCCTTTTCCATTGTGGAGGACAGAGGTTTTAAAAGTTTTGTCAAAACTTTAAATCCCACATA